AGGAAGTGGCTTTTCCAAGGACAGGCCACAGTGAGTGTATGATAGCAAAAGTAGAAAGCGTTCTTCATTATGACAATGATCATGACAATGACTAACATTTATTGAGTAATTACTATTGGCTATGCACTGTGCTAAATGCTTTATACTAATTACTGGATTAATCTCCATGACACTTCCCTTAATTAGGTAATATTTGTATCTCCAGTATACAGTGAGAGTTACTGCCTCTTATTTTTAAAAGTTTATATTACATGCAACTTCTTTAGACCAGAGTTTAGTCATCTAATCTAAACTGAATTATTAAAAACTAACTGGAAAATGGAAGAGGAAGATGAGAACTTCGTAGGTGAGGTAGAGTTTTGCTTTATCCTATCATTGCAGATAGAGATTTGCAGCCAGGAGGATGAAAGTAAGGGCGCCTGACTTAGGCAAGGCATTTTCCTTACCGAGGAAAACACCTCAGCTAAGAAACAGGAGACCTGAGGTTTACTTTCTGCCTGGGCCCATGGCTTCAATGTCTCTTGATAGAGTCATCTGTCAACTGAAGGCTCATTCATAACATTCCCCTCCCTCCCTACGTGGCAGGAACTATAAAGAGTGACACTATTAAATAGCAATGTCCTTGATCAGAAAAAAAAAGGTGGGGGAGGCTATTAAAACAGAATGTTTTAAAAGCTATCCTAATCTTCCAAGGTTACATTCACTGCTTTGAGCCAGCCACCTTGCTTTACTTACCTGACCAGGTCATACTCAAAGGACACCCACAAAAAGAAATCAGAAGGGAAGGAAACGGGGGCCTTGTCAACTGATAGCAAAAGGTACTTAGACAGCTCATGTAGGAGGATCGAGGCCTCTCTGGGCAGCACACCGATTCCACAGTGCATCCGGGCATCCTGTTAGCTGACCCTCTGCCTTCGAGTCACGAGACATGTGCTCTGTTTGAATATTCCATTTTGGACACATGTACACACTGAACTGTCATCTAAGCACTTTAATGACGTTTATGAAAATGCAACATCGCGACAGGAAAACACCTACGTTTTCACATCATATGAAATTAGTAGGTTACACAGTGATACGTACGGAATGATTATAGCTATGAGAAAACAGATGAGCTTATGAAACATCTGGATGGAAAAAACAATGAAATATGAGGCATAGCTATTTTTGAATGGTGAGAAATGTCTTTTTTGGGGTTTTTTTCCCCCTAAATTACCTGCAGTGAGTATATATTACATATATAATTGGATGCACACACACATCAAGCACCGTTGGTATATATCGACATCTATATTCATGAATCTGGATGAATCTGACAAGATAACTTGGAGTAATGGAGGTAGATTGCAAAATGAAATCTTTTTTTTTTTTCCAATATTTTCCTTATTTCAAGATCACTGATCACCTATTCCGATCAGCCCTCACCACTGCCTTCTTCCATTCCCATTCCCAGGGTCTGCTCAACCGACTTGCTTCTGCCAGCCAGGACCGGCATGGAGACTTTCTAGTCTAGAAGCTGGATACTCTGGTCTGACCCTGCCACTCTCAGCTTGCGGGGCCATGGGAGATGTAAATACATCTGTATGTATTTACATATGATGGCTGGTGGACTCAACTCCACAGTGTAACAGGAAGTACGTACCTTCCTATCCACGCCCCCACCTCCAGTTTCCCAGCACAGAGGGGGTCAGGCTGGAGTTACGACAGCCATAAACAGGACAGAAATGTGTCCTAAGTAGATGAAATTAATGGCATGTCCAAATATGACTTCCTTCTTGGTATCTGTGGTTCTCTGAAAAATGTCTCGAAATCAAATTCCCTTTCCTCCTGGCTCCTCAGGCCGTGCTTCCACGTCTCTTCTCCCCGTCTCGCTATTTATATCTTCTTCCATTCTTCTGTCACAGTCACTTCCTTCACTTGGTTGAGATTCCCGGGAGAGTTCCAACAGGAGTTACAAATGCCCCAGGTTTAAGATTCAGAGTCACAGGCATGTAGTAACCTATATGATCTTTGGCCTCGCTGGGCACCTCAGTCAGTTTATGAGTTAATTATCCCCCACATCCCCTAAGAGAAGCATTTCTAGATTCCGATGGTCACTGAGGCATTTTCACCCAACAAGCAACCACCGAGTACCTAACTCTGTGCAAGACATGAAACTAGGCCCTGGGGACACAGGATGAAAAAGACAAGCCGCAAATGAAACACCTGAATTTATCCTGGGGGTTAGGGAAACACAGCCCGCTCGTAATTGAGAAATTCCGTTGGTTCCCTTGTGTGCGTGTGGAGGGGGTGTGGTAACTACACAGACATCTCAGAAATGGTGCCCTTGCCATCTCCCTCAGCTCTCCACCATCGCCCCAAATAAAGGGCGACTCATGAAAACAAATACAGGGAAGAGGACGCAAACCATCCAACCCTCTGGCTCTACAGTTTCCCAGCGCGGCCAGTGGATGTGAGCACAGCCGTGAAGGTCAGGCAGAGGCACTTTCAGATCCCGGGGCTGCTGCTAACGGCTGTGAAAACTCAGACGGGTCTCTTTACACACAGCCTCAATTTACTCGTTTGTAAACTGTGGAGGCCGACACTTACCTTGCAAGATAGGTGGGAAGATAAAATAAAGTATTTAAAGCACCTCTCACATAAGCGCTTAAAAATGCATCTCTCTTCTCGCCAACGATTTGACAATTCAGGGCATTAATTGACAATACGGCCATTTCTCCCTGTGTAGCAAGCCAGATATTCCTCAATTTTTCCTGCATGCTTTAACATTCGACTGGCAGGCTAGAAGAAAAGTCTGGCTTCTCAGCTCATTTCCTATTACCTGTGTCTTTAGAAGACTTAAGTGTGCCCTCAAGACCCCCTCATTCACCAAAAGTGACAGACAAAGGGTTTTTTTTCTGGGAGAACACCATTAAGAAAACAAATACCACTATGTTATCTAACAGGAATCCTTTTGGGAACCAATCAAGCTGCCTCAAGAATATTTATTCCCTTTAAGAAATGCAATTGATCTAACCTGTGTTTATGTCGGGGTTAGTGGATCCTAGTAATTTTCTATTGCTCTCAGGTAAATCAAAGACCAAGGCCACCTAGATGCACAGTAAACTCCTTGGGTCCCCAAGTGGGAAAAGGAAAGGGACAAGCCACCGCCTCCCACGGGAACCAAAAATGTGAATTTGAATTGTTGAATTCTTCAGTGGAAAACCCAATTCTTTCAAAGAGAGTCATTTATTTGGGGGCTCACTGTCTCCATACAAATGTGACTCAGGACTTGGTGGTCAATTGCTCTCAGCTCTAAGGCCCTATTGAAATGGAGATGGCATTGTTATATGAAGGAGGTGCCCCACTGAGGTTATACACTCTGCTTTCTTCATCTGATCAAGTTCGGCCCCAAGACCACCCACCCAAATCAAAACTTCCTTGAATAACTTTCCCAGTTACCCCTTCCATCGTCTCCCAGCTCATCGCTCTCAAGCACTGCACTAGGCCTCCATCTGCTTCCCGAACGTGCCAATCTCTTTCCGGCCTTTACATCTGATGTTCCCTCTACCTGGAAGGCATCTGCCCCAGTTCTTCCCGTGTTTGGCTCCTGCTCATCCGTTGTACGTCATCTTAAATGCTACCTGTGTGAGCTAAGGGAGCCTCACATTCCTCAAGCTGCTCTCTGATCACGCCACCTTCTTTACGTCGTTCATAAGGTTTCTCAGAACACGGAACTCCCCGGTCCTTTATTGGCTGAATTGTTTTTAACTGTATATGGTCCATGACTGCGAGATCATTGTCTTTTGTCTTCCCTGTTCATCGGTGTACTCCCCACGCCCAGCACTGTGCCTATCTCATAAAATGCGCTTAATGTGTATTTATTTGCTGACCGATCTATTCAAAGTTTCAACTCCAAAGAGGCTGACAACTCCAAAAAAGGCTGATCATTATTTGTTGAATAATCTACTCAGAATTTCAACTCCAAAGTGGCTGCTTATTGGTAAAAAAAAAAAAAAAAAAAAAAAAAAATTTCTTCAAACCAAAATGTGCCTTCAAAATATTTTTAGCGATCGTATTTTTAAAAAATTATCTTTATCCCAAGAGCTGAGCTCTGGGGATCTGCATCTTGTATAATAATAATCTAGGTTGGAATTTGGAATGTGGGAGAGAAAATGTCCTTTCACTCATCTGTTCAAGCATCACCGACATTGGAGTGTCATGCTCCGTGCTGGTCACTGGGGGTACGAACATTAACGAGCTACATTCCCTATATTTAGGAAGCTAATAATCCAGGGGGAAATACAGATGAACTATAAGCCATAAAAACTGGGACAAAGATAGCGACAGAGTGGTATAGACTGAATGTTTGCGTCCCCTTGAAGCCGAAGCCGTAGGTTAAAATCTAATGCCCAGTGTGATGCTGTTTGGAGGTGGGGCTGTTGGAAGGTAATTTAGTCCTGAGGGCGAAGCCTCCAGGAAGAAGATTAGTGACCTGATAAGAAGAGACAGGAGAGCCTGCTTCCTCCTCTCTGCCACGGGAGGACAAGAGGACTGTCTGGTAAGTAGAGGGCCCTCATCAGACACCAAATCTGTTGGCACCTTGGTCTTGGACTCTAGAACCGTGAGAAATAAATGTCTGTTGTTTAAGCAACTCCGTGTATGGTAATTTGACTAAGGCATAGAGACACACCCAGAGCACTGTGGAGGGAGGGAAAACTAACCCAACTTGGGGAGGGAGTGCTTCAAACTTAAGGACAAGCAAGAATCAGCCAGGTGAAAGGAAACGATCAGAAAATACTCAGGAAAAAAGATTCCCATCCCACGGGAGGCCTTTTCCTTTGGCGAATCCCCCACGAGGGTGGTGTCTTTGCATTAGCAAAGACCAAAGACTATAATCAGGGACATGGACTTGGCCGTGAAGCATTACGCTTTTCCAAAAGGTACACAGATTAGGAAGAACCCTTCACTAGAAGCACTGATTAAAAAAAAAAAAAAAAAAAATTCGGTTCTTTCTTCAATTGTAATAAAAGAGGAAGTGACATACATGTGATGCTTGCTTTGCCGCCGATGAGCTAGGAAATCGCCAGGAGACTGAGTTTACCTCGATCGCATCAGGAAGTCATGGCTAAGGTGTCTGTTGACTCCCAAATAGAGTCAAGTTTTAAAAATGTTCGAATAGTTTGGATCTGGGAAATATAAGAAAGATGGAAGGAAGTGGAAGGTACGGGGTTGCGGGGAGGGGACAGCCAGAAAAATATAAAATAATTATTTAAGGAAAGGTTGAAAGGGAGGGTTGAGTCAGCATAATAGCTAAGGATATGGTGATGGAGTCGGACGGACCAGTGTTTGAGTCCCGCCTCTTCCTTTTACTGGCTGAATGGCTTTAAACATGCTTCTTAATCTTCCCATAACTTAGTTTTTACCATGTTTACAATGTCAAAACCACTTACCTGGTGTTGCTGTTGTTGAAAGTAAATAATGCAAACCACTTGGAATAAGACTTTAAGTAAAGACTTTAAGTCTTTAAAAGTCTATTATCGTATTAGACCTATTATAATAAAGTATATTTCATAGCGTATTTTATTATTTTATAGACATTGTTATTATCAATGATACATGCTATATGAAAGGACTGGACACATTCAACTGACAGCGTCCCCAGACTCACTTGATTTTGACGAACTTCCGACACGGTACAGTGTTCCTTACACATGTCTCGGTCAGCGGGTCTATGTCCTCCACGATGACAAAGGGCGCCTCCTCCAGGGTGACGATGCTCAGGTGGTTGTCGTCTGGCTCACAGTCTGAAAAGGACTTGTACCTTGGCCACACAGCGTGCCTCAGGCTCAGGGTGTGGTTTTCCCACTTGCCCACCTGCATCACAAAGACAAAGCCACACCTGTGCTTTCTTGCACTACTGACTTGGAGAAAGACGAGTCCCTCTCTGTAACAGGTACGGGAGAAGAACCTCATCCATCTACGGGCTTTGGTGCTACCTACTTACGTGCTTACGTGCTAAGAAAAATGGAGATAAAGGGTAAGCAGAATACTGGGCATCCCCCATGCCCTGGACTCTCCCCAGACTAATTAAATTATGGGGGTTTTGCCTAAGTGTTAATACTGTTATAGAGCTCTCCAGGTGGTTCTATTGTCCTGACAGAGTTCAAGATCACTGATGTCATGAAAACAGCATGGACTTTTCGAATCAGGGGGGTCTGAGCTTGAACCTCCAACTCTGCTGCTTATTTGCTATACGACCCCAGACAAGCTCTTAATCGCTATGAGTGTCTGTTTTCCCATCTGTAAATAGGCACAATTCCACCTACTTTATAAGGACGTTATGAGGATTAAATAAGGCGATTTGTGAAAAGCGTAGTGCCAGGCACATAGTAAGGACCACATACTTTTTTTTTTTTTTTAGTATGGAAGAGAGACAATTAAAAGGATAAAGAAAACAAACAAACAAACAAACAGTAGTACGAAAAAGAAAGAGAAAAGGGGAGAGGAAGATGAAGTGGAGGGAAGATCAGTGGGAGGGACACGGGGTGGGGGACAGAGCAGGTAGGAAAACTAGAAGCATCACGTCAAGCTCAGATATGGTTCCATTTAAGTTGCAAATTAAGGTGAACTTTTATTAATCCGGCACAGAGTGGAGACTTCTGCTGCTTAGTGTACCTCGAGACCTGTCAAAATAGAATCGATGTGTTCCCTTTGAGCAGCAGTCAGCATCGCAGTGGAATCAAATTGAAGGCTGTATGTTTTGAACCTTAATTTTATTTGACAGCTTATTGGCACTATTCACGTACACACTGGGAGAAAGCTGCCCCCGGCATCGCACTTTCTCCTTCCTCCTCCTTCTCCCACGCGCAATTGCTTGACACCGCGGGTCAGATCTTTATTTGTAATACCGACCTCAAGGAAAACACCTCATCTGAAAAGCTAAGTGCCAAGTCCAGGCTTGTCTGTGTTGACACGACCCATTCACCTCTCCTCCTGTAACGTACGTGTCACCAGAAATGAACTTCAGGCCCTTAAAGAGGATTCGGACTCGCCAGACCCCAGGAAGGGTGATGGAGTGGGGGAGACAAGGCAATCATTGCTCTCTAAGATGACCTCATCTTTTGGACTGGAAAATTTTTGCTGCTTGTAGAGAAACAATGTTGTGGCCAATTACGAAACTGTCCAGCTTCACTGATACCTTCCTTCTTAAGATAGGGAGAGGAGTAAATTGGTCAAACATGTTGATCTACCTATGCTGTGAGGCGTAACACAAGCTGGAGGGAGTGTCAAGCCCATCTAATTCTTCATTCATTCAATATGGGTTTGCGGAACACCAAGTATGAGCCTGAAAACAGTGATGGGTAAAAACAGAATGATCCCTGCCTTCTTTGAACTATCGGCTGGCTGCAAGTCAAAAATCAAACCAATAATAATAAATATGCATTGATAAGGATGCTGTGAGGCGTAACACAAGCTGGAGGGAGTATTGAGCCCATCTAATTCTTCATTCATTCAATATGGGTTTGCGGAACACCAAGTATGAGCCTGAAAACAGTGATGGGTAAAAACAGAATGATCCCTGCCTTCTTTGAACTATCGGCTGGCTGCAAGTCAAAAATCAAACCAATAATAATAAATATGCATTGATAAGGAGATATCCAAGCTTAGCCTTTGGGAACATGTCATACCAACCCTTTTACTTTCCTCCCAGAGGTTGAGTAGTTCAGTGCGTTAGAGAATGGCTTTTGGAGTCAAACAGAAATAAGTGCTAATGCTGGCTTCATGCATTAGCTGAGAAGCCTTGGAAAAGTCACTTAACCTCTCTGAGCTTCACTTTCTCTACCTGCAAAATGCAGATAACAACAGGATACACTTTTCAGAACTGTAATAAGATTTAATGGGCCAAAAGTGTACATGAAGCATTGAGCACAGAACTTAGTGCATAACATACGTGATAACTGCTATTATTTTATTATTGTTGCAGTTAGCATTTAAGATACAGCTTAAATATTACCTAATCTATAAAGGCATATCCGCCTTCCTTAGTAATATAGAACCTTGCACCTATCTCCACCATAGCATTTGATGCAAAATTGTAACAATTATAGAAGTGTTCACTTTTGAGTGCTTCTGTACAGTCAGGAAATGTGCCAATGTCACCACTTAGTTAAATCCTCCCAGATCCTACATGGTGAAGATTATTCTTCCAACTTCACGATTCAGAAAACTGAAGCACAGAGAGGTTACGTAACCTGCCCAAACACACACAGCTAGTGAGTGGTAGAACCAGACCATAGTGTGTGGCTGGCTGAGTCCAAAGGTGCTTTCCCACTAGTGCTTCTATTAACTGATCCACGCCGATTCTGCGATAGCTCCAAGACCCTTCCTTCCTTGCAGAGACAGCTCCTAAGGTCCCAGATAACATACACAGAGATAAAGACTGTCTTGCTAGCAGGTCTTCAGTGATTGTCATTGACCACATCACTACGCAGTGGGAGGCAGGGGAAAGCTCCAGCCCAAGGCTGACTCACGGAGAGAGAGGTTGCAAAAGTTTATGAGCTCCCAGAGTGCAATAACTTCCCAAATCTTCTCTCTCTCTTTCACTTCCCAACATGTCTAAGTAAGCACCCATGGGTCCGCCAAGAAGTGTAGAAACAAGCTGTGGGTGGACAAACTCGATCAGGAGCCTTAGCTGCTGTGTAAGCACTGCCCTCGATCCTGAGAGCTCTCTGACAGACTCTTCTGATCGGCTCCCGTTCCAACTCCAAGTATCCCGACTGCGAGACTTATCTACCAGACGGGAGAGAACAGACATCCTTCCCTTTCCCCTCCTACATCTCTGTGTACAAGGGACTATAACTGAGTCCGGTGTTTGTAGACAGGTTTAACAGAGATTCATCCATTCCCTAAGTATTTATTGAACGGCTTCTAGACACTGAGGATACTGTGGTGCTAACATATTACTTGCATGGAATGTTTATGCTAATTGGGAAGATATACACGGATCAAATAATCACACACAAGTATATAGCATACAAACTGGGAGGGAAAAAATGGGTCTAAGAGTGGAAAGAAGGCAAGAAAAATCACGGAAGGCTTCCCAGAGGAGGCGACGTTTACACTGAGTTTGCAAATCCAAGTGAGTGGGGAGTAAGGAGGGGTGGAGGAGGGGAAAGCACCCCAAGCCTGCAAAGGCCTGTAGGTCCTGTTAAGGAGCGTTTCCCTAAGAGTTCATCTAGTCTGTGAACCAGAATGGAACAGCGTCCGTGGAGGTCATCGTGAGCAGCTATCCGTACATTATCTGCCCAAAGGTGGCGGTTCTTTGCCTCTCGCAATTTATTTTCTTTTTTATTATGAAAATATTTAATGACACAAAAGTAGAGTAGTAGAATGAATCTCTATACTCTCATTATCTAGCTTCATTAATTACTAACTCATTACCAGTCTTGTTTCATTTATACTCCCACCCACCCGCTTCTTCCATATTATACTGAAGGAGATCTCAGATATAATTCATAAACCCTTAATTTGATTTAAATATCTAATCTCCATTTGCTTAATAATATTATACCTTGACAATCTATGCGTTTATGTTTCAATCATTAGATTATGATTCTCCAATCTAGCAGAGATTTTATATATGTGATGATTGATTTCTATGTCCCCAGCTTCCATCTCAGGACCTGGCACAACAAGGCACTTACTAGATAGTTGTTGACGGAATGAATGCACATACAGCCTGAATTTTTTAAAGTGTCCATGAGTTGGAAAATTCTAGTCTATTGATCAATGTGTCCACGTGTGCCTCAGCTATGGAATCTTGCACCCTAAGGAATGACCGAGGCTGAGCCAATGGGAATCTTCCCTGGGACTTTGGCTGGGGTTACTAGGATAGGGTAACGACAGAAGACCCAATCAGAGATTGAATGTGGAGCTAAGAAATATGGAGAAGAGAGCGATAAAGTCGGGACTGCATTGCTTGAGCTCTTACAACAGTAATAATTGGCATTCACTGGGCATTTATTATGTATTAGGCACTATTCTTAGCACTATTTTGATTCTTATAAACAACCTATCCACAAGAGAAAGGTGAGGACAAATGATTTTTTATCTCTATCATGAATTTTTTTTTGTACTTAAAAACAGTCCCAAACTCACCCAAATAAGACTGTGTGGGAGAAGAAGAAAAAAAAAAAAAACTTCACCTTCAAAATAAACTGAATTTTGGTGATAAATCTTTGAGTGTTTTCAGCAAGTATACTGAAGTATATTTTCTAGGACAAAAAAATAATTGACTTCTGATGGAGAAAAGTTATTTTGTCAAAAGAAATTTAGGAAGATAAATTAACTTTGTTCTTATCGATAAAATTTAAATACAGTGCTTTTAGAAAGTGATTGCTCTTCTTCTTGCCTAAAAATATGTTTTGGGAAAGGGCAGTGATTACTTCTTGAAATGTTCAGCCAATATTTTCTCAGAGCAAAGATAATTTCAGCTCCAGAAACTGTTTTAAGCTAATATGCACCCCTTCATGCCCGGATAAATTCAGAGATATGCTGCAGAGGCTGCAAAAGTCTGGAAGAAATTAGGTTAATAGATGTGTGTGCTTCTCCTTTCAAAGAGATATGAGTGTTTGATCTCATTTGATCTATTCGTGAAATGCTTATACAAGACAATTAAAATCACTTCATTACTGGGCCCCTGGGCTCCCAAGCCATTCCCTAAGAACATATATCTAAACAGCAAAATAACATGTCTACTGCTACTTGAATCTTTCCATAACCTATACTGCCTATAAAATCAAATTCAGACTCCCCTTTACGTTAAAGGGGCCTAGATCTAGGTCCAACCAACCTCACTACATGCTCCCTTCTCT